ATGGAATTCACTTCTAGGGACGGATCCCAAATCAAGATGGCAGGGATGAGGTCACCCCCGGCCCCTCCAGACACTGCCAGCAGATGGAGGCATGCAGTGTCCCCAGATGTCTGCAGACCCAGCCATCCTCAGGCTGAGTGTTGGAGCCATGGGACCGAGCAGAGGAGCCAGCAGACACAAGGAGGACCCGCTGGTAGCCTCCATCAGTCCTTGGCACGCGTGGGGAGCCCTTGCCATCCGACGACAGGAGCTGGCAAACCTCTCCAGTGAAAGGCCGGATGCCACTCAGCTCTGCTGGGGAGCCCAAGAGCAGCCACTGACAAGATGTCAACAAGGGAGCGCAGCCATGTTCCCCTAACACTTCATTTACAAAAGCAGGCAGGGGGCCAGACTGACCCAAGGCTGTTGCCTGCCAGCTCTCGTGCCGGAAGGGAAGGTTCCAGGCCCGAAGGCTCGGGGCCACAGAATTGAAATGGAGCCAAAGGAGCAACTTGCAGCTACAACTTGGGGCTGGAAGAGAGCATAGGCAATGACCCCTCAGACAGACAGTGGCAGAGGAGCCACCAGCAAGCATGGGGCTCTGACCTCCACCCCAGCAGGTGTCTGCGCAGATCACAAGGACACTTTCTCAGACATCTCATTTCAAACACGAACATCTGTGTCTTCAACTCAGAAGTCAAGAATGACGACCACAGAAGAAAAGCTACAAATGCTCAGAGTAAATATTTGGAAGTTCGACCGTAAGCCTGATCGTCTGCATCGTGTTTACATTTGCTCATTTCGGTGCCAGAGCACAGCTCAACTACACTGCCTACTTTTCCTGTTCTTCGTAAGGACAATAAACATGGCTTTTGGTTAAAGCGTACAGATAAAATGCACCTTGAAAAAGGTGCATGATCCCTTCCTCAAAACTCTGGGGGCTAGAAGTAGGGGGAAATTAAGAAATTTTTGGATTTGGGGGCGCCTGGGTGCCTCAGTCGGTTGAGCATCCAACTTCGGCTCAGGTCACGATTTCACGGTTCGTGGGTTCAAGCCCCGCGTCAGGCTCTGTGCTGACTGCTAGCTCAGAGCCTGGAGCCTGTCTTCAGAGTCTATATCTTCCTCTCTCTCTGACCCTCCCCTGCTCACACTGTCTCTCTCTCTCCCAAAAATAAATAAAACATTTAAAAAAAAAAAAAAAAAAGGAAATTTTTTGACTTGAGGGGCTCCTAGGTGGCTCAAGTGTCAGACTCTTGATTTAGATTCAGGTTGTGATCCCAGGGTCGTGGGATTAGGACCCAAGTTGGTCTCCACACAGATAGTGCAGAGCCTGCTTAAGATTCTCCCTCTCCTCTCTCTCAGTCCCTCCACGGCTCGTGCTCACTCTCGCTCTAAAAAAATTTTAAAAAGAACTTTCTGGAATTGAGAAAGATAAGGCAGGGTCCAGGGTGGCGCAGGAATGTGACCATTATGCGTCAGTAGGCCACAGCTCTGAACAAGTCGGGTCAGATTCTGCTGTGACGTGAGAAACGAGAAGCCTTCTCAGTTTAGAGCATTGGGGATTTGTTTTTTTATTATTTTTTTCAGGTTTATTTAACTTTTTTCACATTTATTTATTTTTGATAGAGACGGAGACAGAGCGTGAGCAGGGAAGGGGCAGAGAGAAAGAGAGACACACACACAGAATCCGAAACAGGCTCCAGGCTCCAAGCTGTCAGCACAGAGCCCAACGCGGGGCTCGAACCCACGAACCTCGAGATCATGACCTGAGGCAAAGTCAGACGCTTAACCGACCGTGCCACCCAGGCGCCCTGAGCTTTGGGGGCTACAAAATCGCAGACCATGGCCCACAGGCGTCTATTTATAACCACTGTCCCCAGACCCCTTATTCCTACGTGGCCAAAGTCCTCTTCCCCGGATTCCCCAGGCCAGGATTTTCCTCCCTCCATCCTCCTGCCCAGTCCTCCCTGGGCACCACCCACGGCTCTGGGCACTTCCTCAGGGGAGGCCTCCTTGCCCACTTCTCTCCCCCGCAGGCTTATTTTATTTGCCTCAGAATTACTGTCATCATTCACAATCATCTTACCTGCCAGCTCTCCCGTGTCTGCCTCCCCAGCGAGGACTCAGAAGCCCGGGGTATTTCCCTGCCTCATGCAAAGCCCACCCCACCCCCCGCCCCCCAGCTCAGACACTGTGCCTGGTTCAGTCAGTTACCAAAAAATTAAAGGTGACTACCCTGGGCTGGGTGTCCCAGACAGGCTCACCCCCGAGCTGGGCAATTTCCGTGCATTTGCTCCAATCCCCACACAACCTGGACACCATTATCCCTTTTTTGCCAGCAGGGAAACTGAGTCACAGGAATGTTACAAGATTCCACCCCCCAAAAGGCACAATATGACAACAATATCATATTTTAAAGGAAAACCCTAAGTCTTAAAAGTGAAGCCATTTGTCCCCTAATCCACCGGCTCTGAGGTCGCTAAAGCGGAAAGCACGATAATTTAATACACATGCTAATTTGGGTGCTTCCGTGTCCATAAAAAACCTCTACATCTCGCCATCTCATGGACGGAAGCCCGTGTCTAATCCAAGTCCCAGCAAATACTAAACAGCTCGAATCGAAAAACCACGGGTAGGCTGACGATCTTAAGAAATTCTTCTCCATGTAGACTTGGGAGATTTCTCTAAATTGCTATAACTGCAGATTGCTCAAAACTGGAACTCACTGTAAATCATCCCATTTTCTGAGAAATTCTGGAACGGTCATTTGAGTTTCCAGGAACAGCGGACACGGGCTGCCAAGTCTGGCTGCTGCGTTTGTAATGAGTGGCGGACCGTGCCATCCAGGGCCACCGAACGGCATGACTGACCATTTCCCCAAGGGGTGACAGGGCACCACCGGGGGCTCCCCCTGCCCCCAGCTTCCTAGCTCATGCAGAACTGCCCTGGGCATCCGGGGCGGCAACAAGAAACAGCTAGTGTGTCTGTGGAGGAAGGCGTGACCTTTCCTGACCTGAAAACAGAGGGGCGGGGGGAAGTAGGAGGGTCTGTGTGCCATCACCCATCCCTCCATCAGGTCCACTCTGTAACCAGCTGGAGGACACTTCTCCACTAACTTTCAGGCAGACTCCCCGGTACAGTTTTCCATGTTGTGCACTGATCTTTTCTGTTTGGGACTAAAGAGGTGAAGTGCAAGGCCGCAAGCCAAATGATGGGTAGTTGCACCCAGACAACCGGCCACTGTTAAGTGGCCACAGGAGAATTGAACCCACGACCCATGGATGCAGCACAGAGCTCTAACCAACAGGGTGAGGCCTCTTTTTTTTTTTTTCAAGTTTATTTATTTATTTGCGATGGTGTGGGGGTGGCAGAGAGAAAGAGGGAGAGAGGGAGAGGGAGAGGGAGAGGGAGAGGGAGAGGGAGAGAGGGAGAGAGAGAGAGGGAGAGAGGGAGAGAGAGAGAGATGAATCCCAAACAGGCTGTGCACCGTCAGCACAGAGGCCAATACAGGGCTCACACTGTGTACCGTCAGCACAGAGGCCAATACAGGGCTCAAACTCACGAACCATGAGAACATGATCTGGGCAGAAATCAAGAGTCTGACCCTTAACTGACTGAGCCCCCCAGGCGCCCCAAGGCCTCTTTTCGCAACAAGCCAGCAGCCATGTGGAGGCCTGAAGCAGAGCACACCTCAATGGTTCTGCTAGGTGCTGGCCCTCCTTTCCGGCTTCCAATTCGTTCTGGTCTCATCCCCAGTTCAGTGGCTACCACGGTGTTCCTAACTTTCAGCCTCTCTTGGAAGGTTTGCTTCACTTTGACACCAAAAAAAGAAAAAAAAAAATCAGGGGCACCTGGGTGGCTCATTCAGTTAAGCATCTGACTTCAGCTCAGGTCATAATCTCACAGTTTATGGGTTCGAGCCCCATGTCGGGCTCTGTGCTGACAGCTCAGAGCCTGGAGCCTGCTTCAGATTCTATGTCTCCCTCTCCCTCTCTCTCTCTCTGCATCTCCCCCCTCATGCTCTTTCTCTCTCTCTCTCAAAAAGAAATAAGCCTAAAAAAAATATTGTTTTTCTTCATTAAAAAGAAAGCTCTCTGCAGCCATGATGCATAAACAAATTCTCATCACAGTCGCTAAAAGAGACTCAGCAGATTGAGGGAGGGAAAAACGAGTTCAGAGAAGCATAGAACTCCGATCAAGGGTACAGCATTCGGAAGGGCCTTGAAATTAGGGAGCTCGAGGCAGAGGGAGGGAGAGGGAGACGGAGGGTGCAGGTGCCTGACGTGCTAAGGACCAGTAAAGATGGTGGCACCCGCGTGGATCCATCGGTTGGCTGAGCGTCAGACTCTTCATTTCAGCTCAGGTCATGATCCCGTTGTCATGGGATCGAGCCCCATGTCCGGCTCTGTGCCGACAACAAGGAGCCTGCTTGGGACTCTCTCTCTCCCCCTCTCCCTGCCCCTCACCTGCTCTCTCAAAATAAATAAAGTAAAAAAAAAAAAAGGAAGAAAGAAAACGCGGTTCAGAAGATGAAGGCGATTCGCCGAGCAGCCCGTGGATGAACACGTCATCCACAGACCCCCAGCTGATGCTTTCAGGCGGAGGGAAGGGCAAGCCAGTCCGGGGGGAGGCCTCCACGCCCGAAGGGCAGGCTGCAGCCAGGCCAGGACGCTGTCCCCGTTTCCCGTCCCACCCCGATGCTCACGTCTCTGCCTGAGCATCCCCGCAGCCTCCACACCATCTCGCCACCTGGGGGCTCTGGGCCCCGCAACGACCACAGGGCGCCTGCCCCGTCCCAACACCTGCTCCCACGCATACGAGGCAGGGCTGCGCCCCGGCCAAGCCCCCTTCGAACAAGGAGGCCGCAGCCAAGGAGGACACGCGGGAAGATCTCTGGCGACACATGCCGACCATCTGCGGGACACGCCAGTGACCCCCGTGCAGACGCTCCCCTCGGTGACCCGGCGTGGTCATGAACCCCACAGGGGCCGCTAGCATCCACGGTCCACACTCCCCCATACCTGGTAGTAGGGACAGTGCACGAAGGAATCCGGACAGCCAGCTAAAGCCATGGGCTCCTTCTCCGGGCTACATGTACACCCTGCCGCACCTGCAACAAACACAGACCGTGAGAGGAAGCCAGACGGGCAAAACAGTCACTACTTGCAACCTATTCAAGAGCATGTGGGCACGTGCAGGGCTCAGTCGGTTGAGCATCCGGCTTCGGCTCACATCACGATCTCGCGGTTCGTGGGTTCGAGCCCCACGTCAGGCTCTGTGCTGACAGCTCGGAACCTGGTGCTGCTTCAGATTCTATGTCTCCCTCTCTCCCTGCCCCTTCGCTGCTCACACTCTGTCTCTGTCTCAAAAATAAACATGAAAAAAAAAAGTGACACGTCTAAGAAGGTGACCCCTGGACACACTCCCACGGTCAGGTACTCGGTGAGGATGTCTACTCAAAGTGTCCCTGCTTTTCTTCTCACACGAAGACAAGCACCAGCTACAGAAGCCTGGGAAGCCTGTCCACATGGTCACAGGGTCTGCAGGGCGCAGGGGCCCTCAGAGAGGTGAGGGCCCCCCTGGGAGCTCCCGGCAACCCCTGGGCTCCTTTTCTCATTACAGACATCAGCACCCTGAAGACTTCATCTTACTGCGGGGGATACAGATTTAGTCTAATTCCAATCAGGCTCCGAGGAGGCTGTGTGGGGACGGGGGTCTCCCCAGGACCACCTGTGGGTACGCGGGCTCTCCCCGCCTCAGCCAAGATCGAACCACAGGTACGGGCATCGGACACCCCTGAGTGGTTCCACACTCTCCCTGGAGGCCCCGGTTCTGTGACTACAATCTCTGACCATGACATTCACGGAAATGGACTTCTGAACACACGCACGTAAGTCTCTCCCCACTTCTACATGAGCTACGGATACCATGAGTTGTATTAAAAAGCCAATGCTGGAGGCCCCGGGCGGCTCAGTCACATAAGCGTCCGACTCTTGGTTTCAGTTCGGGTCACAATCTTGCAGTTCGTGGGCTCGAGCCCCACTTCGGGCTCTATGCTGACAGCAGGGAGCCTGCTTGGGATTCCCTCTCTCCTCTCTCTCTGCTCCTCCCCAGCTCACGCTCTGTAACTAAATAAACATAAAAACTGTTGTTGTTTTTTTAAGTTACACAAGGGCTCCTACAGTGAGCTCCTACTAAGCACGAAACACAGATCCTGTCATTCTCCATGTTAATCTGCTGTGGTACAAACCACACGCCTGACGCATACAAAAAAGACAGTGAGTCTCCCAGCTGAGACTGACAAAGGTCCCCTCCCCTCTGACTCAGAGGACGGGGCGGGGGGGGGGGGGAAGGGGCGGGTGCCAGGGTTAGGGGCACCAGCAGCTTGCCCTAGACTCGGGATGGGTCACCCTTTTGCCTTTGAACACACAAAAGAAATGAAAGGCCAGACTTCTGTGAAGTGAGTGCCCCCAAGACCCTTCCTTCTAAATCTCAGCAGTCATCGGAGAGCAGGGGGCGGATTCCAGGAACAGAGTGGAACCACGGGCAGCGTCTTCTCGTTTGGAAATCATCAGACGTTGAAAACATTTTCAGGAATGGCAGCAATTCACGCTCTCCGCCATAATCGATCCCAGAGGTGCCCTGGCCCAGCCACCCTGAACAATTCACTCAATAATCCACGGCAACGAGAGGCTTTCTCGAGCCTCCGCATTTTGTGGCCGTCGTTCCCTGCTCTGCCACCAGCTAACTTATTATGCCCTGTAGGACGGAGCTCAGGGATCACCTCCTCCAGGAAGCCCTCTCAGACTGCCTCTCGCCAATCAACACTGCCCCCGGCGGGCTCCGTCAGTGCCCACTGGGCTCTCGGCACCTGGATCCAAGCAGATTTCACCAAGAGGCTCTGGCGGTGATCAGTGTCACCCAGTTAGAGCAGGAAGAACACAACAGCTCCAAGACGGCCACCCACCATGTGCGGGAGCCACCTCCAGAAGGACTGCCCCCTCTCCTACGGTGTCCCCAGAGGAGGGCCAGGGACAGGCAGGTGTCCTGCCGTTCTCAAACACCGGATCCCCTCTGAGGCTGCCCTTCGGAGGAGTAAGAACAGTGAACAGTAACAAGAATCCCTGCAGTGAGGCAGCAAAGAAACGGGGCCTAAAACACACTTTCTGGGGGGGGGCCCCTGGGAGGCTCAGTCGGTTAAGCAACCGACTCGATTTCAGCTCAGGTCATGATCTCACAGTTCATGAGATCGAGCCCCAGGTCAGGCTCCGGGCTGACAATGCAGAGCCTGCTTGGGATTCTCTCTCCCTCCCTCTCTGTTCCTACACCACTTCTGCACGTGCTCTCTCTCTTTCAAAATAAATAAACTTAATAATTTTTCTGCTCCTATACTCAGGGCACGGAAGGTCCCATTTCCCTGAAGTCGTTTCAGTACAAGAAAAATAAAGACTATTTAGGCAGAAACTCGTTTCTCTCAATGAAAGAAAAAAGGAGAATGGAAAACACCGGACAGACAAGAAACTGCCCAGGATAAGACAAACCAGATGCTGGGAGCAGTCACATCAGAATCGATACTGCAGACAAGACAGTCCATGGACGCAAAACCCCAGGAAAGTGGATAACAGTCTCCGGAGAGAATGGGACAGAGTGGCATCTTGTCCCGCAGGTCAGTGCAAAACTCGGGATGCATGGGGTGCCTGGGGGCTCAGTCACTTGAGAGTCCGACTTCGGCTCAGGTCATGATCTCATGGTTTGTGGGTTCGAGCGCCACATTGGGTTCTGTCCTGACAGCTCAGAGCCTGAAACCTACTTCGGATTCTGTGTCTCCTCTCTCTCTGCCCCTCCCCGGCCCATGCTCTGTCTCTCTCTGTTTCAAAAATAAACAAAAAACTATGAAAATAAAAAACTTTTTAAAATTTTTAAAAATTAAAAAAAAAACTCAAGGTACAGAGAACGACTCCCGGCTGCGAAGGGAACATGACCTTCACCAGCTGAGCCCAACCCCGCACCTCTCACGCATCTGCAGCAGAGTGAAGGTTCTCCAACCAGCCAGTCTCAGCTTTCCAGAATTCGGAAAGGAAAGACTCACAGAAGCTTCCCAGGGGAATCCTGAAAGACTCTGGTGGGGCATAAATGTCAGGACATTCGTTCTATCAATCAAACTAGCCACAAAATCGGGGCATCTGGGTGGTTCAGTCAGGTAAGCATCCACCTCTTGGTTTTGGCTCAAGTCATGATCTCGTGGTTTTGTGAGTTCGAGCTCCGCATCAGGCTCTGTGCTGACAGCGAGGCGCCTGCTTGGGGTTCTCACTCTCCCGCTCTCTCTGCCCCTCCCTCACTTGTGCTGTCTCTCTCTCAAAATAAACCTAAAAACAATAGCAAAAAAAAAAAAAAAAAAATCAGGGCACCTAGGTGGCTCAGTCAGTTGATTCAGCTCTTGACTTCAGCTCAGGTCATGATCTCACGGGTTCGTGAGCTCCAGACCTGCTTGGGATTCTCTCTACCTCTCTCTTGGTCCCTTCCCCCACTCGCGCTGTCTCTGTCTCTCTCAAATAAACTTTTAAAAAGTAGCAAAAATATTCAAAGGTAAGACCCAGTTATAGGCTGAGCTGTGTCCTCCCCAAAATTCAGAAGCTGAGGCCCTAATACCCAGGACGCACAACGTAGCTCTATTTGTTGGTGGAGATCTTTAAAGATGTGATTACGTCAAAATGGGGTGTTAGTGTGGACCCTGAGGCGAGGACACAGACACAGAGGGGTGACCATGGGAAGACATGGGGAGATGGTGGCGGCCATATACACGCCAAGGAGAGGGGCCTCAGGGGGTACCAGCCCTGCTCACCCCTCCATCTCAGAATCGGGCCTCCAGAGCCAAGAGGAAATAAATGTCTATTATTTGAGATGACCCGTCTGTACAATTCTGTTACGATGGTCCTAAAAATCTAATACAGACCCAAAATATGAAAACGCTACTAAATTGTTATTTCAGCTGAAAGGAAGAGAAGAGCCCTAAATCTATAACATTCATTACCAGACAATTACGTTTTCTGCAAGCATTTAGGACCCTCGAAGCCACCTACGCAGAAACCAGAGAATGACCTGTAAGAGGCCGCTGGGCTGAGGGAACGGGGTATGAGCAATGGCAGCACCAGCAAGATGGCGGGAGGGCCACACGTGGTAACCTGCCACTCCCTGCACGGGCATGGCTGTGGCTGGCCACCACCCTCCAGCCTTGGGCAAGGCCAGTAGACCCCAAGCCTGCAAGCCTGTCCGGCCCATAAGTCAGCCTGGCGCCCGTGGCGGGAGTCTCACATGTCCGTGTGTCTGGGCTCCGGCACCCAGCCATTTAACCCAGGACCAACCTCACAGCTGTTCTGAAAGTTCTCTGTGGAAGTGATTGACCTCTGCAGTCACTGGACTTTTAGGCAAAGGGGATCACCCTCCATACAAGAGGTGGGCCGTGTGCAATCAGTTGAAGGTCTTAACAGCAGAGACTGAGGGTTCCCAAAGAAGATGGGATTTGGCCTCAAGACTGTGGCAAACTCCTGAGTTTCCAGGCTGCCAGCCTGCCCCATGGATTTTAGACTTGTGAGCCCCCAACAACCAGGTCAGCCAATTCCTTAAAATAGATCTCTTTGTATGTACGCACACGTGTTCTGTTTTCCTGGGGGAACCCCAGCATATACGACCCAGCCCACCGCGGCCGGATCCCAGGACACACATGGTGTGGCCTCCTCATGCCTGCATGAGTGTGAGGACTCTGCGTGGACAACCTCCCAGCCCCTTCTCTAAACACAATCCTCTACCTTCTTCAGCCTGCAGCCTCCCTTTCCTGAGCACGCTACTTTGCTCCCCTTGACCCACATCCCCGTGGGCTGGAGGAGGCGTAAACACCCTCCTGGCCCTTTAAGGACCCTCTCTGCATCCATACTAACGGCTGCCCCGTTGCCCCATGCCTCCTTCTGCTACTGCTTCCCACACTCCCCCGGCTCGCTCGTGCATGCTGCCTTGCCCCGCCTTGCATGCCTCTGGAACTCTTGGATGTGTTCATCACGCAGACACATGTTACTTTCCCCCGAAGCTTCAAATGTAGTGGGTGTTGGAGTGCCA